GGGCGGCTGGCGCGGGCCGCGGGGAACCGGGGCTCGGGGCTCCTGTCTGCGAGCGTGACGTTTCGTGTGCGCTTAAGCGACAAATGCAAATCAGATGGGAAGAGTAAAGCGCTTCAAAACAACTGACTAAAATTACACTCTTGAGCTGTAATGTATACAACGGCATGAGTGATTAATTAGGGGAACCCACATCCGACAAGGAAGATTTTTGAAAGGAATCTTGGAAAAGGCTGCAAATACAGCTGGGATCCAGATTAATGTACTTATCTAATAAAGCTCTTCCCGGTCTCTCGCCTGGTCCCGTCTCCCTCTCCTGCCTCACGCTGGGGCAGGCTTTGCCCGAGAGCTCGCTGCTCGGACGAGCTAAACCTTTTAGCGAAAGATGGTGCTTGTATGTTAATAGTCGATCTGATCGTATTAAGGCGTTGGATGTGAGAAGAGCCCGAACAGGCAATTGGTTTCGCATGCGTTGCTTTTGCCTTTGGGAAGTAAAGCAAGGCAATAATCTCTCCGCCAAAACTGGACATGGGAATGGGACTATTTCCTCCAGAAGAAGAAAGTAACATAGCGAGTATGTTTTATAAACGAGATCTTTAGCACTGTGATCACTACCGTGGACGTGGCGCCTGCTACCATCAATCGACATGTATTTTTGGCACTCTTCTAAGTTGGGTGGTGCGATATTACTGCGGACTAAACTATAATCGAGATTATCACACAAACTCGTCTGATGAGTAGTGAATAAAACGAGACACTAAAAATTATAATATGTCTAATTCCAGAAGAGCAGACTCCACCGTTAAAGCCCACTTATGTGAAAAAAAAATGTTTACATCTCTAAAATCCCAGATACCCAGAAGCTGATTGACTTCCGAGTACGCCAAGGAATAAAATGTATGGGAGTATTTTAATTTCTCAATCTTCTTTTAGAGAAGCATGGCGATTTTACAAATGATAGCAGCTTTCTTCCCATTTATCCTGGAAGTAATCATTTTAAACAGCTAATCTATACCTATCCATATGAAGAGAATATATTATATATATATATATAATTTTAATATGTGTGCATATATGCATATATACACACACATTTAGGATATAAAACAATTACAGTTCCATAGCTCCAAAATATAGAGCAACTGAATTACCCGCATAAATTCCCCGATTTCTTCCAAGCTGAGGAAAGAGCAGCACTAGGCTGGGCAAGCTGCGTATTTCCTCTTCATTTGGCTACGTGATTCACGCCAGGAGCGCCGTAACCCCATGCACAAATCAGGACTGCACCTAGTAAATTCTGCAAGGCGAAGAGGACACGGTATCTCACATACACTGTAGTGCCAGCGAGACCTCCTCGGGGTTATTTTTCTTTTCTTTTCTTTTCTTTTTGTCCACAATTGTACAAAACTAACGAGTGGTAGTTTGAATGGAGAAACGTTAAATGAGTACATCGCAATATAAAATACAAGACCAATCCCACCGGGAGCGTTGGAGCACGTCCCTGTACTTTCTCAAGGCGGCTGGAAATATCTTTGCAGCTTTTTCCTATGACTAAATCTTCTGCTACCGGACGAGAAAACTGAACAATTATTAAACGGAGCAATAATTAGTTTTAAAGTATCTCTAAATTAGTTCAAACGCAAGCAACACCTCTTTAAGAGCCCCGGGGTTCCCCAGCATCTAACAGGTTGTCATTTAAATGCGGTATGTGTGGGTGTGTGGGTGTGTGGTGCATGGTTTCTTTTTTCTTTTCCCTAAGGGTAAAATCTTGACAGATGTTTCGCACGAGAATCATTCGCGTAATTTTACGGAGGAAAGTTGACAATGTATCGGCGATATTTCCTATTCCAAATGCCCGATGTAGCCTCACCAGCACGATGGCATAAGAGAATCCCTTCAGTTCAATCCCTAATCCATCTTCCAGCTCCACGGCAAAACCCCAGTGCTTTTGCTCCCCACTTTCATTTCTTTTGATTAGACAAGTTTTGACAAGCTGCAGGACCCTGATAGAGACCCTGCCCTGCCTCCTGGGACTCGGGGACGTCTACTGAAATCTTTTATTGTTATTTCGCTATACCTGAGGTATTCTGTGTTGCTAGACAGATGTATTTCATCGGTAGTAGTCATAATATTAGTGGCTGTAATAATAACAACAACAACAACAACCGTCGGTGCTTTGCTAACCTTCATAGTTCGTTCTGAAAAGTTCCTAGAGTCTAAATATCATAGTTGTGGAAAACCTAAGAGGAAATAATGTGCTCAACTACCTTTCTCCAGATACTCCTGGAGAACCTCTACCTAATGCAGCATCAGACGCAAAACATTAAATGTTTAACTGCGGTGCGGATGGCAATCTAAAGTCTGAAGGAGAGGCATAGGACTCGTCAGTGTCTCCTCCAACGTAATCTGCGATAACGAGTGCGAGAACCGTGCAGATTTGTTTTTCTTTCCCTAAAAAGCCCCTAGATCAATCACTGAGAAATTGAAAGCGAGGGGGAAATACCACGTACGCTGAGATAAGAATTGCCTTGATTATACTGTGTGGTCATAATTCTCTTCCCATCTTGTGTTACGTGTTGCAAGTATGAATAGGGGAAGTGTCCGTTAAAAACAAATTTTAAACTGGTACTTTTAGATTTTCTTTTAAATGAGGTTACTTAGTCTTTGACGACAACAGCGTGACAGCCTACCCGATCCGACGCCTGCACACATTTGGTTGCAAATATGCGAATAGGAAATGTAGGCTGGCCGCATCATCAGCGTCCAGGAGATTTTATTCTATATGTTACACTCTGAGGTTTACGTTTCTGTTTGCCTAATATAATTTTTGCCAGACCATTTTCTTCCAATTTAAGCCAGAGACGCCTATCGCTGTGAGAATTAGCTTGTGTCAGATTTTAGGTGGAAAACGGAGTTTGACAATGCCACAGTCGAACATTTCAACAGCCATTTATCACTAAAGAGAGCAGCTTCCAAAGTTATATACCTTGTACTACAGTTCATAAACTTGATTTATGATGAAATAGATTTTACTGCTCCGGCCCTCCCAGCTGGCATGAATTTGACTGCAACATGTGGGACTTACAGTAAGCGAAAACTGCATTATATCGAAAGCTTCCTCTGTGTACGTGTTCCCAGTCAACAGGTAATGGAAAGCTCAGTCTTACAAAGACATACACATATTTAGAAGCAGATTTTCACGGTCAGATGGCGCAAATGAGGTGCCCCGCTCCTTAGCTCTGCGATCTGCTCGGTGCCGCAAAGGGCCCCCCCCGGGCTCTGCAGGAGCAGGAGGAGCCCAGCCTGGGCGCTGGCTTCCGGGCCCCGGGGATGGATGAGGCAGCCGCGGACGATGCAGAGGGAGCAGCAGAAACGAAGGAAACCCCAGGGGAGTCGGAAAGGCGATTTTACGCCTTCCACTTTCGGGTGTGCACATGCGGCAGGGGCGGCGGCTGAAGGGGAAAATGCGGGGGGCTGCTGAATTTTAAGGAGCAAATGTTTTCCTCAGCGTCGGTGATTGTCACGGCGGAAGCACAGGGCTGCAGGTCGAGGGAAAAATCTGTGCCAACCTAGCATCCTAATATTTGTGCCTGAAATAAACTGTCGATAGAGTCACGTCGTCTGGTGTTTTTTAACAGGGTAAAATAGTCTATGCCGTATAATACAGTATTCGGTGCAAATTCCGATCTCTTGGCTCAGCCGGCTCGTAAAATCCCAGCCCGGCGCTGTGAGAGCAGAGAGCACTAGCAGGCTGTAACCAAAGCATTATTTTCAGCCCGTGCGAAAAACAGGAACGCCGCCGGGTACAGTCGGCTCCGCGGTCGCTGGCGGGGCCGCGGGGCGTAGGGGGCTCCG